CCCTCCAATGCCCACACCGTTCCTACGCCCCTCAAATGCCAACACCGTTCATACGCCCCTCCAATGTCCACACCATTCCTACGCCCCTCAAATGCCCACACCATTCCTACGCCCCTCAAATGCCTACACCGTTCCTACGCCCCTCAAATGCCCACACCGTTCCTACGCCTCTCAAATGCCCACACCGTTCCTACGCCCCTCCAATGCCCACACCATTCCTACGCCCCTCAAATGATAACACCGTTCCTACGCCACTCAAATGCCCACACCGTTCCTACGCCCCCCAATGCCCACACCGTTCCTACGCCCCTCAAATGCCCACACCGTTCCTACGCCCCTCCAATGCCCACACCGTTCCTATGCTCCTCAAATGCCCACAACGTTCCTACGCCCCTCTATCGAAAAGATGGGGCATAGTTTGAAATGTTACCTCGGCAGAGTAAAGAAATGTTACCTCGGTAATGTAAAGAAATGTTACCTCGGTAATGTAAAGATATTTTAAACAGCCATCAATCAACATCAAGGCCAAGTAGGACCAGGTACAGGTGTGAAAAGTGTGTGGTCAAGGCGACCGAGAGATAGTTGACCTATCGCTTAAAGATACGTTCAAATAGTACTGTGTCACGTGACCAGTTGTTCTGCTATTTCAAACGTTTGTCGACTTGTTATTTAGCCAATCATTGTCCCCCTTTTGCTCCAACAAATGTCGATCTGCTTGTTACTTAGCCAATCATTGTCCCCCTTTTGCTCCATTTGTCGATCTGCTTGTTATTTAGCCAATCGTTGTCCCGCTTTTGCTCTCCAACAAATGCCGATCTGCTTGTTATTTAGGCAACCAATGTCCTCCTCTTTTTAGCGGGCAAAGTCTTCGGACGGTTAATGGACCCACTTCTCCTGCTGAGCTGAAACTTGGAACATAGACGCGTTGTCCATGACATTGTCATTGACAACACATTCTATCAAATGTTCAGCCCCAACTCCCAAAAATCAGTTTTTCCGGGTTTTTATTTTAAAAAAAGTAAAATGTAGGGCGGGGGAGGGGTGGGGGTGGGAAGGAAATATGATGCCAATAACTGAAATGAAATTCCCGATAACTGCGCTAAATGTAAATAGAATCGCAAGAGCGTAATATTTTCGTGTTTTTTTGTTGTTGTTTTTTTTCTGGAATAATTGGTGAAATAATTCTGCCGTGTAAAAGCGGGCGGTACATCAGAATATTAAGATCAAATTAAAACAATGCAAACAAATGATTTATACGAAAAACCTTGTCTTTAGGTTGTGTTTAATAAATAATTTCTTACAAGTTATGATGTTGTTAATGTAGTGCAAGCATTTATTTAAGGGAGGTAACAAAAAAAATAAGTTTTAATATTAAGTATTTGTGTAGTGTTATAGATTCTGAATACTGATTTCTACGCTGATCGCTTATCAAGACAATCAGGGACTGGAACCATCTTTCAAAAGGAACAGTTGAGGCGACAACACTAGACACATTTGTGTCTATTGTCTCAAGCCTTCAAACCCCTAGTGCATAATTTCCTCATCACCACCAGTAACAGAAACATGGCAAATCCCATCTACATGCATAGGAGCCAAAATGATCAATAAATTGATCGTGGGCTCTTAAGATATAGAAGAAGAAGATCGATTTCACGGGACATTTACTTCATGGCAGATTGGAGATACACAGCACCGGCCTGCACTAATGTTATGCCATAGATAATATTACTTATTCTCAGATAGTTATTTGTTCCTTTGTGGAGCAAAATATGGCCTTGTAATAGCGTATGGCCTCCTAACAGCAAAATATGGCCTCCTACTCGCAAAATATGGCCTCCTAACAGCAAAATATGGCCTTCTAACAGCAAAATATGGCCTTGTAATAGCGTATGGCCTCCTAACAGCAAAATATGGCCTCCTAAACGCAAAATATGGCCTCCTACTCGCAAAATACGGCCTCCTAACATCAAAATATGGCCTTCTAACAGCAAAATATGGCCTTGTAATAGCGTATGGCCTCCTAACAGCAAAATATGGCGTCCTACTGGCAAAATATGGCCTCCTAACAGCAAAATATGGCCTTGTAATAGCGTATGGCCTCCTAACAGCAAAATATGGCCTCCTAACAGCAAAATATGGCCTCCTACTGGCAAAATATGGCCTCCTAACAGCAAAATATGGCCTTCTAACAGCAAAATATGGCCTTGTAATAGCGTATGGCCTCCTAACAGCAAAATATGGCCTCCTAAACGCAAAATATGGCCTCCTACTCGCAAAATATGGCCTCCTAACAGCAAAATATGGCCTCCTACTAGCAAAATATGGCCTCCTAACAGCAAAATATGGCCTCCTACTCGCAAAATATGGCCTCCTAACAGCAAAATATGGCCTCCTACTGGCAAAATATGGCCTCCTACCAGCAAAATATGGCCTCCTACTCGCAAAATATGGCCTCCTAACAGCAAAATATGCCCTCCTACTCGCAAAATATGGCCTCCTAACAGCAAAATATGGCCTCCTACTGGCAAAATATGGCCTCCTAACAGCAAAATATGGCCTCCTACTCGCAAAATATGGCCTCCTAACAGCAAAATATGGCCTCCTAACAGCAAAATATGGCCCTTCTACTCGCAAAATATGGCCTCCTAACAGCAAAATATGGCCTCCTAACAGCAAAATATGGCCTCCTAACAGCAAAATATGGCCTTCTAATATGAAATTACAAAAACAAAAGAAAGGAAAATATTTCTATTTGTATCTTCATGAAAAATCGTGGTCAATTAAAATTATATAGTGTAAAGATTAGTTAATAACACATTTATTTAAACTTTGCCCAGATATGAAATGGTGTCTTGTTATAGCTAGGTGACTTAATGGTGTCTTGTTATAGCTAGGTGATTTAATGGTGTCTTTTTATGGCTAGGTGACTTAATGGTCGGATGAAATTTTTATCATGTTTAGTTATTCAATTTTATTAAATTTTATTTGGATAAAAAAAAATAATTAAACAACACGCTGTTTTCAAAAATACAAACACCAAGTCCTGAGAAAATATGAAGAAACTATTTCTTCAAGCCACAACATTAGTACGAAATCAGTTGTACACCATTGAGACAGTCATTATCATTAATCAAATTTAATTTTGTTTAAATGTACATATGAAATCTTAGTGAGTGGTAGTTGTTTAAATATCTAAACAACTATCTCTGTAACAAAACCAATGGCTACATCTCCTGAGTGAATGTAGCTACTTTCAATAACAAAGAGAGAAAACATTTATTATGATATAATGACAATGTTCGTTAAGTGTTTGTGCATAGTGTTAAACAAATGTTTAATCAATGTCATGTCTTCATTCACCAGTATTACTACTATCTAGAAACAAAGAGAGACTAATTTCATTTTTTTCATTTATTATTAGATCCACATCCAGATGGATATCTAATAATGTACATATTAGTAGATCCACCGCCAGATGGATATTCAATAATTTTCAATGTCTTTATATTAGATCCACAACCAGATGGATATCTAGTAATGTTTATGATGGATATCTAATAATGTACATATTAGTAGATCCACATCCAGATGGATATCTAATAATGTACATATTAGTAGATCCACAGCGAGATGGATATTTATTTATTTATTTATTTAGGCATTTTTATATAGCGCTTATCATAAAGCTCTAAGCGCTTTACAATTATTAAAACATGTAAACTAAGTAAAATAAAAATGAGACACTAGGATAGTAACTACTATTCTATAGAAACAATGAAAATGGCTATAAAACGAGGACACTTTGACACTTCAGGATCAACCCGAAACAGAAAATGAGGTAGGGCAAGGAGGGTGCATCACAGGTCATAGGCGGACCTAAACAGATGAGTTTTAAGGGACTTTTTGAAAATGGACGAGGTTTCACTATGACGTATATGGAAGGGGAGCTGGTTCCAGAACGTGGGCCCATGGAAGCAGAAGGAGCGTTCACCGATGGTCTTAGTTTTAGTTCTTGGGATTGAGAGGGTTCTACTGTCAATGGAAGAACGTAGTTGTCTTGTGGGGATGTAAGGAAGCAACAGATCAGAGAGATAGACAGGAAAGTGAGGGTCAGTGAACGAGTTGAAGCAAAGATTGGAAGACTTGTATTTGATGCGAGAGGATATTGGAAGCCAGTGGAGTTGCCGCATGTGTGGTTGAATGTGGTCATGTTTCTTTAATTTAAAAATGAGTCTGCATGCTGAGTTCTGTGCCTTCTGAAGTTTGTCTATGTGGTGTTGAGGAATGCCTGAGAGAAGAATCCAATAGTGTTCATGGTATTGAGATAAATAAGGTCTAGTTTGAAATATCACAGAACAATCTTGGGAGGTTTCAAAAGATTATTTTAAAAAAGTTTTGTTATGTAAGAACCTATTACTGGGAATGACCATCACAGAATTGAAGACTTCTATTTCTTCTCGATGGCGGGTGGGTAATGGATCAGCTCACTGAAATGGAGATAAGTTTCCTTTAAGAAATCTTTATTACCTATACAATCTATAGACACAATACAACTACTGCATTCAGAGCAATATCAAATAGGACTGTTTTTTTTGGTGGGTGTTTAACAAAAAAAGTTTGATTATGGCAAGGGATAAACAAAAGAAACTGGGGGGAAAAATGGCCCCCAATTGAGTAACAGTTATTGATGGAGAAAGTGACTCTAAGTAAACATTTTCAGAAGTTCAATGGTATTAACATCAAGAGATGTTTGTAGTATGTGCAGAGAAACAAAATGATAGCATAAAAAACAACAGTTTAGCTCCATGGGTTATTAAATATAAATCACTTTTCTTTTTCTTTTTAAATAAATGCTACAGAAACAAAAGTAAACAAAGTCATGGCAGGATATCAATGTCGTAACTAAACAGAAAGAAACAAGAAATAAATATTTCCAAACTTTCACAGTAATCCAGAAACTAGCACAATGTTACATTCTTGACTATATAAAATTACCAAAAATAAATTAACTTTTTTAACATTCAACAACTCAACATTCATTTGTAGACAATATTCAGTGAAACTATTTACACCTGCCTAGATAATCTGGGTGCTTACAGATTGTAGGATATATTTCAACACAATTTGACGTTTGAGCATCAACTGACTTAAAACCACTTCAGATTATCAATGACAGTTTTGAATATGCATATTCAATTGCTCTTCGTGACAGTCTTTGCAAATACCATAAAACGTTCACACCCTATCACAAGGCATATCTCATCAGGAAGTACAGATCCACAAAGAACACAACAAGGCCAGCAGTTAATCCCGAAAGCATTTTCTGAAATAGTTGCAATGTGATTGTAGTGTTGAGATGGTTGAAGATTGAAATATATAAATACATTAAGGATTTTCATCTACATATTTATGATGGTACAAAAGAAAAAAAATTTGGTAACTTTGAAATAAAAAAATAAAAGTTTCAGTAACACTATTTTTTAAAAATTACAGCAAAAACTAATTTAAAGGTTTTATTTTCATGAGTTTACTAGCCCTTCACCTAATTCTACAAAAAACGGGGGAAAAAATGTCAGTTGGCTGTCATAAAGATGCTAGTGTTTTAACAATAACGTTAATTTTTCATTTGATCAAAGTGTTTTGTTAAGCTTTTCAATTGAGCAATAAATGTTTTGTTAACCTCGATTAATATGAAATTTAAATGTAGAATAACTAGCTGTTTGACTGTTACATCTAATTGTGATGGTTGGCTCCTAGCCATTGGACTCGCAAGAAACAAATAAATCAAACTTTACCATTGCCAGCTGATTTCCAATGACCATTTCTGCACCTTTATAACCAAAGGCAAACCCGGCAAAGACAGTGACTAAAAAGTTGAACACGGTCACCAGCTGCTTGTTCAAAGATTTGACTGGCGAAAACAACAAAAATGAAAATGATTATTATTTACTGAACTATATTTTAATACAACATCATTGGCAGCATAGCTGATATTGATTTTTAAGTAATCAAGAATGAACAAATACTCTTCCAACACCAATTACACCAAGACATTGGCATAGTGGAGGATGGCTTAGATAAAATGGGGAGGTTTTGTCAATCAAATATGAAGCTAAGTGAAGGTTATACTCCACAAAATGATTTATATTGTTTTTTGTTAATATAATCAGGAGGGAAAAATGCTGCATGTTCATTTGAGGACGGCCTTACTTTGTTGTATAATTAATATTTCCAGTAATTCTAGTTACCTTCTTCTTGAAATGTCAAAGTTCTTCCATACTATGGAAAAATGAACAGAAAAAAATTCTATCAACACAATTACTAAATGAATGTTAATAAATATCTGGGAGGCAGGAATAATTTGTAATTGATCAAATAGACTATTTTTAAGATTAACTTATTGATTTTTTAAATTTAATTTATTATGAAATCCAAACACAACTAGTAGCGCTTTAATTGCACAAAATTTTGAAATATTTTATAATTCAGTACCTACAAACAATATAGACATAATATTTATTCAAAGTAGAAAACATAATAAACAATGAGCGGCTGATGTAATATAGCAAAGATGGTTCATTGTAAATGTCCCATAGGCTTTTGTGCAACCGTAATGTGGGTTTAAGTGTTCCCTGATTGCATAACTAAACCTCAATGATAATTATAAGACTGATTTGATTTATTTTTAAATAAGCTATACAATTCTTTTTTACTAGACTACCCTAAATTTGTATGTTTAACAACTAGCGAATTGATGTCAGTATAAAAAAAGCTCCACTATTAGCCTATTTAACGTAGTGATGCATCCAACATTTGTCAAAACAATAAATAAGTTGGCACCAATAGAAAAACTAGGGATGAAACTAGCATTTAGACCAGGGGTCAGCAAACCTTTTTTTTAAAGTGTAGAGCCATTTCTGATAATAAATATTTAGAGAGCTATAGACAGGGGCAGATTGAGAGAGCAAATATGCCCACAACACCTGAAGTAATGTTTGAGTTATGATGCTTTAATTTAAATTTAGAAACTTCATTACAATAAATATTTTGTTTGATTAATTTATTCACCCTTTTTAATATTAAAAAATAAGTGATAACATTTTTAAAAATCTCATTAAGTCCTTAAGAGCCACAAGTTGCCAACCGCGACTTAAGAAAGTTAAAAAATAAAAATAAATTAAATTCTATAATTAAAAATACTTACTCTTGGACCAACGTTCCTCGTCATCCTTTTGTACTCTCTGTTCTCCTCAATAATCTTTAGTTTACGTACTCTTTCTTCCAGCTCTGGACTCTGTGAGTTATAACAAAATAGAGAGTAAAAAATGTTGATTTACATATTTTTTCTCTCAAAGTGATGTTTTCTCTAAAAAAAAATATTAAAATTTGTACATCACACAACCTGATGTGTTTAATTACGTTGCATAGATTTTTAAACTTGTCTAGCTTTACTTTAGTATGTATGCTTATTAATAGTGAAACGCTTACTCTAGGAGGGAGAGTGACAGACTGTGGTATTACAAGGGCATCTTCCACAATTTCATGTAAAAATACCTTGTGACCTATAACAAAAATTATTTTTAAAAACTTGTTAAATTTTCATCTGCTAATTCTTTCACATTTGTATATTAGATTAAAGTGAATCAAATATTTCATTTCTTCAACTTATAACAAAATAATACTTCTACTCAATATAACTTAATTTCTTTAAATCTCTAGGCAAAGCTAAACAAATGAAAGATAAATTTCTAGATTCAGTTTTGTGAATCGTGAGAAATATTTTTATTACACTTCCAGCTAAAATCAAATCCATTATAATATACACGTATTTGATAAATTCTTCATGCAACACTAAATATAAGGTTTTTAACAATTTAAATATTTGATTTCAATCACCAGACTAAATCAATCCACCTATAAAAACTACAGTCTCAGTTTCAATCCTCGGATAATAAATATTTCATGACATCTATTCTTGTTTTGAATGTGTATACACATGGCTCCAGATGTTTTCAGACTGGATCTATGTCTACTGCTTGCTGTAAACCTAACACATAAACAAGCTTGGTTTAATGTGTAGCAGTTAACTAAGCCCTATTGAAAATATCTGTATTATTCTAAATTGTACAATTTAAGTTGATAAATGTGTGGCATATTCTTTTCATTATAGGTATGTCGAGTGAAAAGCTAAAAAATAAATTATTAAATAAATAAATTTTCTAGCTTCAGCCCTCTCTTTACTAATCTTAAGGACTTTTATTAAATTATACTAAATTTTTAATTCGGACTTTAAGTAGTAATATCACATTGTAACTCTAGAGTAGTTTGTCATGGGATTGTAGTCTTGTCCTGGGATTGGTCTGAATATCATTAAAAAAAAAAAGCAAAGTTAAAGATTTAATACTTCACTATCTGTAGTTTACTATTAAATTTAAAGGTATATTTTATTTGTATGCAGTGACTGGGTGGGGCGAGTAAGCCCTAAAAATAATTGCGGCTCCTTGGGGCTCTTGTTTGTTATATCTACATATATATTACATAAAATTTGTTTATTTATTTAAAATTATTCATTATTAGTTATATTTCCAATTTATTTTCTGGATAATAAATTTAATGAATTATTATATACCCCATGGCAGCTATCGTTAAAAGGTAATATGCAAACAAGCATGGTCACCATGATGACAAAATACATACCCTAAAAAATGTTACCTCTTTGATTTTTGTTTTTGACCACAGCCTACGGTCTACAACCTTGAACTTTGGATGTTATAAATGATTTTATAAAGTTAAGAAACCCATTTTTTTAATTGGGCTAGTTTTAAAAATAAATTATTGAGTAAAATTAACCTATATCAACTTCAATTTTCAAATCATTAACCTTGAAAAAAATAATCAAATGAGTTCTCAAAAGAACAAGCAAGATGTTGGATTTAAGTATTTGGTGGATGTATCATTTTTTATTATGCTAAAAATCAACGGTCAATGCAGAGAATAGGTGCCATGACGTTATTTCGTGACTTTTGTAAAGTTTGTGCTTTGGATTCACTCTCCTTATTGTTGTAACTAGAGTTAAATTTTTTCCTTAATATTTCAATGGCATGTTTTTTAATTAAATTTTTATTGGTTAATTAATTTAAATTTTAAAATTGCATTGGTTTGGTCATTTTAATAATTTTTTTTTCAACATATTTGATGAACTTTGGATTACATTTTAATCATGTTCTGGATATTCTTTGCAGTAGAACCTGAAATAAAATGTATACAATTTTATTTCATGATACTGTAAGTTGGGGTATCATTATTTATTTCATAATTATTTTAGCCATTTTTTTATTGTTTTTTGTTCATTTTCATAGTTTTCTTGCCACAGTGTGTAAATACCACATGTTTTTTACTTGTGGCTTTAAGGCTAGTTTTAGGGTTTGGGTTAGGTTTAGGGATAGATTTAGGGTGCAGGTTAGGTTTAGGGATAGATTTAGGGTTCAGTTTAGGTTTAGGGACATTTTTTCATTAATTTTTTCCTTTTATTCCTAATTTTAGCAAACTTAAAGTTGGCGGTCGTGTGATAAGTCATGGCACTTGCGTCTGCATTTTACCAAATCTCAAATCAACCATAACAGGCGAAACAACTATACCCTCTGTAAATTAAAAAGTGGAGGTCGCCATGTTGACAATGAAATTACCATACTCATACTTGATTTTCAGATTTTTCCTGGGGATACCAAAGTGCCCAATCATAGTATTAATTAAAAGCTAATTGATGTTTGATTAATTATAGTATAAAACTAAATAATTTGATTAATTAAGAAGACTTTTGTGTAAATTTGGAGAGATAGAACAATAGCCGCCATCTTGGGTGCCATGACCCGCGAACTTATGTCCTAAATTTTAAATGTATCCCTAAACCTAATTTGAACCCTGAACATATCCCTAACATGGGTTTTGACCCTATAGCAGACCTGTTTACCTTCCAACTCTTAAAATCGTACACTATCCTCACAAAATCGTTCAATACATTATCTGAATAGTAAAAAAAACACAGTATATATACTATTTAGGCCTCAAAATCGTACATTGTACGCCAAAATCATAAGAGTAAACAGGTCTGCTATAGGAACCAGGGTTTTGACCCTATCGGAACCAAGGACTAAACTTGCAAATGACATCACTGATAGCACACCCTGGTGTCATCAGGGTGTGCTATCTCTCCAAATGAGCCAACTTTTGTTTGTCAAAACCGATAAGATTAAGTCTACATTCAGTGATTCATCCCAAATATGGGCGAAAGGAAGCATTAGGCTCTATCCGTCGCGCAATATGCTTAGGGCTAGGGCGCATCTCGCCCTACCCATCACCGGCCTAAATTTTTACGAAATGTTTAACTTGCAAACCTTCCTTCCGAAGAGTGTTGTATACTTCTCTAATAATTTTGGTTGAAATAACAAATTCGTCAGTACTTTGGGAAATAATAGAACTGCACTGATTTTTCAATGGTTCTGTGATACATTTACATTTTAAAACTTTTTCTAAGACTTGTTTAATAGTAGGAGTAACTTGTAAAACCGGCGATAAAACTTTTGTTTGGTCCGCCATTTTGACAACAATAGTAAATCATGTGATAACAAACTGTTCTATCTGGACGAAATTTGTATATTGTACGTGGGCATTTGGATGTATATCCTCTAAATTTAAAGATTGAAATATATTTTAAAAATTGTTTGTCAAATTTTAACAGTAAATTAAGCTGAAAGGCCTAGAAAGACATTCATAAGCTTCCAAAAACAGTTAATTGTGTATGATAAATTATATAGGCTATTAATTCCTGACTAACAATTAATTTATTCATAATCTAACATATTTTTACAACTTATTTGATAATAGATTTTTTTTAAAAATAATTTTAGTTGTAAATAAAAAGATTTAGTTTTGTCACATCTTTACAAAGAGTAAAAGTTTTGAAATGTAAAGTTTAGTTTATTGATATATATCATGGATTATTATCCAGCCTACAAATACACGTTCTTTTTGTCTCCTTTTCCAAAAATCAGATTCATTTATTTAAATTATTAACATTAGTAGCAACGGCGTAGTTATGGTTTGTGGCGTACGGGATGGGTCATGATTTTTCCGCCCCTACCCACGAACAAAAAACACCGCTGCATATGGCCGAAAATGACACCCCTTCATTGTATAGAAAGAAGTGCTGCCCCTGTCGGACCGTCTCGACCCCCCTTTCCAACGTTATTGAATAGACTAATAGACTAATAGTTGGCATCTATAATTATGGGCCACAAAATGTGCTACTTTTGGGGGGTTCTTTTCTTTTCACTTTTTTCTTCTTGACTATAAGTTTTCGCTTGGCCACAACTTAAATTCCAGTTTAGGCTATAGGAGCAGATATAGTATGTCGCATACATTAGTCTAAGTTTGCCCCACTGGCAATATTCAGATGGCACTATTATAACCATGGTAAATTTATGGCGATTTTCATACCGCTTTACTGTACTGATAATTGTGTCCTCTTAGATGTACAGTCGGCCCTCGTATATCGTGTCCTCTTAGATGTACAGTCGGCCCTCGTATATCGTGGTAAATCGTTTCCAGACACTACCGCGGTAAGTTAATTTCCGCGAAGTAGGATCTTTATTTATGAATGGAATGTGTTGGCAGTTAGAGAACACTACACCTGTTCACGGCCCTCTAACATCACCCCGGTTCTCAAAGATCTCCATTGGCTTCCTGTAAGTGAGCGCATTGACTACAAAATTCTGTCCCTGGCGTACAGCTGTATAGAAGGCTCTACACCGGAATGTCTTAAAGAACTGATTTGTAAACAGTATCCTTAAAGAACCTGTCTTCAACAAAGTCCTTACTGAGAGTTCCCAGTGTGGACGGACACCGAAAAAACTCGTATGGAGTGCGCTCTTTTGAAGCGATAGCGCCATAATTATGGAACAGTTTGCCCCAATCTTTGAAGGAAATTGAAAATGATAAAAAAAATTATTTAAGAAACATTTAAAGACTTTGTTTTATTTAAATAGATTTAAGATCATCAGAGCGCTGTTCAGCCTGGTTAAAGTAGCTTGGATACCAGCGCTATATTTTAATTAATAGTAATACAGGACTGTGAATCACTGACTCAGTCAACCGAGCTCGCGCTGTATCATTTTCACTATCTCGATCAACTTTTTAAATTAAAACATGTTATATTTGAAAGGAAAATGAGGTTGGGGGGGGGGGGGATTGAAGCCGTGAAAAGTCGAAGCGCGAAGCGGCGAAGGACGACTCTTAGTATTTTTTTATTTTTTTTGTGTTTGTGTGTTCATGTTGAGACTGCTGTAATGGTGAGGATTATATCTCTATCATATCGTTGTACTGTGAAGTCATATCTCAGCTCTCTGTTCTGATCATGTTCAAAATACTTTATTGACTATGATTCAATCACCACTTTAGTCCATGCTAGAGATGTTTAACTGTGTGATCCTCGACCCGTACTCAACTTCTACAACAGCCCCAACTCACTCTTCTCCTTTAAAGAAATACGAATAAAATACACAACAAACAAAAAACCATATGTTTAATTAAGACCACACACATCACATTATCCGACAACAACAGGATTGCTATGGGGACATATAGTTAATCCACTGTGCAGGTCAGGGTTGTTGTCTGTAAACACGTAGGAGAGAGCTCCGTACAGCGCCGGGTCTCTGAGGGACAGGTGCTCTCGTCCTTGAGCTTCCGTGGTGCAGAACCCCGACCCGCAAGAGTTCATCCCGCCAGAGTTCGCGAGGCCGTTGCGGTTGACGGCGAAGAAGACGGTCGTCGCCACGGCGAAGTACTCCCTCTCGTTGCCCATGGCGTACGAGGGCACGGTCCACGTGTGGGCCTCCTTCGCGGAGTGGTACGCCGCGGTGATGTTGTGCAGCGCCTGGGGGCCGAGTCCGTTCGCGTGGATGGTGTGGGTGTATTCGTGGACCAGCACGTTCAGGTTGTGGTAGTAAGGGTCGTGCGGGGTGCACAGGATGTTGTCTTCCAGGATGACCGCCCTTTTCCCGCCAACTCCAGCCACGTTCTCCCATTTCCTGCCGTCTGCTGAGCACGTGTGAGCACACGAACCTGGAGACAGAAGAGTAAAAACGGCAAGCGCAAAAATTAATTGAAAACATAATTTAAAATAAAACCTTAGTAATCATAGTAATACGTTTCAGAAATGTACTTTATAAATAAAAAATTCGTAAGATAACCTTTTCTGAGATTTATCCAGATTTCAATATGGCTGCCGAGTAGGCCTACACATATGTATGCCAGCAGTGTTCCACAACCAACTAGAATACTGTGTTCACATTGTTCTGTGAGTAAAGCGTTATGAAGGTTATAGCGGCGAGCTGTGTGTCTATCTTCACAGTTCGTGAGTCTACAGCAGTAGGTCTCAACGTTCCTAATGCCTCAACCCTTTAATACAGTTTTTTATGTTGTGGTGACCCCCGACTATAAAAGTATTTTCGTTGCTACTTCATAAATATGTGTTTTCCAATGGTCTTAGGTGACCCTTGTGTAAGGGTCGTTTGCACCCCCCCCCCCAAAAAAAAAAAAAACCAAAAGAGTCGCGACCCACAGGTTGAGAACCACTGGTCTACAGCGCGCGAGCCGCCGACCCCCCTCACCCCCAAAAAATGTTACCAGAAATACATACAATTAAAACAGATTTCCAATCATATTGGATGGATACAATTTTCTGGTCTTATCATCTTATTTTGTTATCAACATTATTTCAATATTCCGCTCCGGTGAAATACTTTTCCAATGGCTCCAAGGTGATACAAGATGTTGGAAACAACAATTTATTCCAGTAATATAAATCTACTATCGGTAGTTATTTCTTAAGACAACATCTGTGACCGTATAGATGACATATTACACATACTATAATTTATACAGTCATCTTTTTAACTTTTTGCGCTCATCTGGCTTGACAAAACACTGACCTGCGTTAACATATGCATGTCAATGCCGGCATCAAGCCACTGGCATTATCGGTACGAGATGTCCGATGGTCTCAACTACCCAGGTGATCTATATTTCTAACTGCAGGGACTCAACTCTGCCGACTTAACCTGCACAACACATCCCATAGTCTCAATTACCAAGGGGATTATCATACGTCATCACATTTACTATGTACTCAAAACTATTGTCATTACTTGCACAAGACGTCTCAAAGTCCCCTGAAATTGCCTAAACAAGACGTCCCACAGTCCCCTGACATTGCCTAAACAAGACGTCCCACAGTCCCCTGAAATTGCCTAAACAAGACGTCCCACAGTCCCCTGAAATTGCCTAAACAAGACGTCCCACAGTCCCCTGAAATTGCCTAAACAAGACGTCCCATAGTCTCCTGGTATTGCCTAAACAAGACACCCCACAGACCCCTGAAATTGCCAAAACAAAACGCCCCACAGTCCCCTGACATTACCTAAACAAGACGCCCCACAGTCCCCTGACATTGCCTAAACAAGACGTCCCACAGTCCCCTGACATTACCTGCACAAGACGTCGTACAGTCCCCTGACATTACCTGAATAAGACGTCCCACAGTCCCCTGACATTACCTGCACAAGACGTCCCACAGTCCCCTGAAATTACCTGAATAAAACGCCCCACAGTCCCCTGACATTACCTAAACAAGACGTCCCACAGTCTCCATTGGCCAGGTGAGCATATTCAGGGAACACGATAAGCTTCTCGTGGGCTGAGAAGATCCCCAAACTCGACCTGGTGGCCACGTTTCGGAATATGTCATCTGGCATGTACTGTGTCATCTTTATGACATAATCAGCCGCAACGCGAAGAGCAAAGTCACTGACTCCTGGCGACCCGGCTATCTCCAACTGGACTCTGGAGTGGTCAAGCGTCTCATTCGTCTGGCGGTCCTCGTCCACGTAGAGATACTTGAACCCTGGCAGCTGCTGGCCTGCTTTGCCATCGGGGAGAGTCTGGAGATACAGGTAGTCGTCCTCGGAGAGTGGGCGAGAAGAGAAGGACACACATTCAGCCCATGGCGCCGAGTACCACAAGGCTGTCAAAACTGAAGTCAAGACACAGTATTGGTAACACATTGAAGACACAATATTGGTAACACAATGAAGGCACAGTAATGGTAACACATTGAAGACACGGTAATGGTAACACAGTGAAGACACGGTAATGGTAACACAGTGAAGACACGGTAATGGTAACACACACTGATAATGGGGTCATGATTAACAGACGGCGAACGGATGATTCAGACCTTTGACCTTAAATGGTTTATTGAAAATAAACCATACCGTCAGTTGTACCCCATCACAAAGATATATTTACCTGACATATTTATACCTTGACAGAGACAGACATACCTGCCAGGTTTGTACACTAAAAAAAAAACGAATGTGACATCCTGTCTAACTTGAAGAGTATATTAAATATGACGCACTACTTAAAAGGTATACGATTCTACCTGCGAGAATTTGGAACAAGGTTCTGCCTTCCATTCTACTATTTCATTAACTCTTATCAAAGTCTATAAGTTAGCGTCTGTGACATATGCAGAAAAGAAGAAGAAATATGCCACTGCTACAACGATGAAAGATAGTATCTGAAAAGAAAAGAAGGAGAAACCGCTAACTGCTACATGCAACGATGAAAGATAGTATCTGAAAAGAAAAGAAGGAGGAACTACTACGGCTACCATGATGAAAGAAAGTATCTGCCGCCTACTGTACATTAAAAAATAATCTAAAATATTCCGGTTCAAATTCTTCTATGCCTCTATGCCTATTCTAATTCTATACCAACTTGTGGATTGTAAACCATCTGTGTGGAGTTAGATTAGTCTCCTTATCTGTCCGGCACAGTAACTTGTTTCCCTTGATTGATAGTTATTCTTGACATTGCTTTTTGTGTTAGGCCGTAAACTTATTTTCATGGAAACTTATGAAACCATTTTCAATGATAATTAATTAGCTTTCCTTCGGGATCACAATTTTTCTTTAAAATAATGAACTACGAGATGGGATTGATCTTTTCTTTTCAGTCGTACTTTTTAAATCATCAACATTTTATTTCCAAGAAACTTAATGAGGACGATAGATGTGTGGTTTGGGTAACATATTCAGTTTCTTCTAACACTGATTCGTGAAATGCTACACTTAACATTTGGTACAAAGCTCAGCTTAAAGAGCCGCGTCAAAACTATTTAAAAAGAAAATGCTAATCACATGTGCACTCAGAGGTGCTGGGTGGCTGGTGGTGCTGGGCGTATACGGAATTTTGATTGAAAGAAATTTCTTTGATGATAAATTGATCGATGGTAATTTGATCGAACGGAAATTTGGTCAAATCTTTATTTTTTTCAGTTTTGGGTGGCTGATGGTGCTGGATGGCTGGTGGTGCTGGGTGGCTGAGGGTGCTGGGTGGCTGGTGGTGCTGGCTGGCTGACGGTGCTGGGGGGCTGATGGTGCTGGGTGGCTGGTGGTGCTGGCTGGATGACGGTGCTGGGTGGCTGGTGGTTGCAGGGTGGCTGGTGGTGCAGGGTGCAGGGTGGCTGGCGGTGCTGGTTTGTGTGGTGGTGGTTGGTGGGTGCTGGTTGTTGGTGGGTGGCGGGTGGTTGAGGGTGCTGGGTGGCTGGCGGTGCTGGGTGGCTGGTGGTGCTGGGTGGGTGGTGGTGCTGGGTGGCCAAACCTGAGTGTTCTAAACTGACTCATCCAAAAAGCTGGTGGTCTGAGTTCAACCCCCATCAAAGCAATCCCCAGCATCCCGGGTGAATGGGACTCGTTAGCGATGGACGGCAACTCATTTAAGAGAAGGCAAACTCTGAATTCAAACCAGGAGCCAGAATGATCAATAAATTAATCGTTGGTCCTCAAAATATAGATAAGAAAAGAGGAGAAAAAAAATACTAATCATGTGTGCACTCATATCAAATAACATAATAATCCTGTTTGAACTCATTTAAAAAAACATACTATTCACATGTGCACCCATATCAAATAACATGCCGATCGTGTGTGCACTCATGTCAAATCGTATGATAAAGAATCAAAGTATACTGTTAGATTACTGCGTTGAACGTTTCATAAAACTATTTCCCTTTTCATTCTAATCTCTTACGAATATCGGATCAAAGATTTAAACATCGTGTCTGTCCAGAACTCAGCATGGCTGCACCGGTGCATTACTTAGAATCACGTCTTGAAAATCCAACCTTTTTATGTAAAATGTAAAATGAGTAAAACAGAGTAGGGTTAAACCTGAAAAAAAGGAACGCAACAAAACAACGAACGTGTCGGCAGAAAGCCTTCGTCAGCGAACAAAACAACAACAACAAAAAAAGGGGGTATAAAGATAAAAATAAGAAATAGCACTTAGTTTAGAAGTAGTATCCGTGGGCAGAAAAAGAAATGTCATCAAGATGACACAGTACTTGTCAGATGACATATTCCGGGCCGTGGCCACCTGGTCGAGTTTGGGGTTTTTCTCAGCTGACGAGAAGGTCATGTGTTCCCTGAATATGCTCAGAGAGTCTGTTGTCTTTGATAACGCATATAAACATCAAGTAATGGCAGTTGTGTACATTTTTGTGTGTATCATTCAAGGCAGCTATGTACATTTTTGTGTGTATCATTCATGGCAGCTGTGTACGTTTTTGTGTGTATCATTCATGGCAGCTGTGTACGTTTTTGTGTGTATCATTCATGGCAGCTGTGTACGTTTTTGTGTGTATCATTCATGGCAGCTGTGTACGTTTTTGTGTGTATCATTCATGGCAGCTGTGTACGTTTTTGTGTGTATCATTCATGGCAGCTGTGTACGTTTTTGTGTGTATCATTCATGGCAGCTGTGTACGTTTTTGTGTGTATCATTCATGGCAGCTGTGTACATTTTTGTGTGTATCATTCATGGCAGCTGTGTACATTTGTGTGTGTATCATTCATGGCAGCTGTGTACATTTTTGTGTGTATCATTCATGGCAGCTGTGTACGTTTTTGTGTGTATCATTCTTATAGATAGGAGCTCAGAAACTTTAACCACCAAATGTGTCAGGGCCCATCCTAGTGTGTCAGAGCACATCCCAGTATGTCCGATCACATCCCAGTGTGTCAGAGCACATCCTAGTGTGCCAGAGCACATCCCAGTGTGTCAGGGCACATCCCAGTATGTCCGATCACATCCCAGTGTGTCAGAGCACATCCTAGTGTGCCAGAGCACATCCCAGTGTGTCAGAGCACATCCCAGTGTGTCAGAGCACATCCTAGTGTGTCATTATAAAGCGACCAGTCGTATAGCAATTATTTAAATTAAAATTCGGCTTGTGTTCAAAGGAGAAAGATTTTAGGGCAAAAGTATGTCTACTCTACACGGTTAGGTTACTCTGACATGGATTTTTCTGGCAAAGTAGCGATCCGGAGAGATGATGTCACACTACTCGGAAATAATTGTGACGTCATTGAAATAGAAATTATAGTTACACGGCGGTAATAAATTCTTGACGACTCCGAACCGTGTCTGACTCCAAACAATGTCTGACTCCGAACCATGCCCGACTCCGAACCATGCCTCACGCCAAACCATGCCTGACTCCAAACCATGTTTGACTCCGAACCATGCCTGACTCCAATTTTGACTCCCGAAAAGAACCCAAAAGATAAGATTTGTATTGGAAACAAAAGATAAGAGCGAAGAAAAGCTGACAAAGTGTTGTCTAACGAAGTGTTGATTAGCTGTACGATAAGGACATTAGGTTCGCAGTTTGTGTGTGCATGTGGGTGTGGGGATGTGTTTGTTTGTTTGTGTGTGGGTGTTGCAGATGGAGTGACTAATAGGGACACATTGGTCAGAGTTACTCAGTTTGCAGCCGTGTGTTTGTCAACCATCTTAACTGTCGGATTGTGTCTGTTTGCTGGAGGTCGGTGCATGTCACTGTTGACGACGTCGGTGTGGTATCGAAGATGTTGGCGTTAGTGCTTCTGTCCCTGGCCGCTGCAGGTATTTCTTTTCTGTTTTAATCAAATGGTCTCTCAAAGCTTTATAATTGCGGCACCCACTTTATCCATCCCTGTGGCGCCACAGCCCATGTAGAGCTTTGTCCTGCCTCACCACTTCCTTTCACTCAGACCATCCATCCATCCCTGTGGCGCCACAACCCATGTAGAGCTTTGGCCTGCCTCACCACTTCCTTCCAGTCAGACCATCCATCCATCCCTGTGGCGCCACAGCCCATGTAGAGCTTTGGCCTGCCTCACCACTTCCTTCCAGTCAGACCATCCATCCATCCCTGTGGCGCCACAGCCCATGTAGAGCTTTGTCCTGCCTCACCACTTCCTTCCAGTCAGACCATCCATCCATCCCTGTGGCGCCACAGCCCATGTAGAGCTTTGTCCTGCCTCACCACTTCCTTCCAGTCAGACCATCCATCCATCCCTGTGGCGCCACAGCCCATGTAGAGCTTTGTCCTGCTTCACCACTTCCTTTCACTCAGACCATCCATCCATCCCTGTGGTGCTACAGCCCATGTAGAGCTTTGGCCTGCCTCACCACTTTAGTATTGTTAATGCAACATTGGCTGGTAGATCATGTCACTGTCACGTAGAGCCAATGACTGGTAGATCATGTCACTGTCAAGTAGAGCCAATAACTGGGAGATCATGTCACTGTCACGTAGAACGAATGACTGATAGATCATGTCACAGTCACTAAGAGTGAATGACTAGTAGATCATGTCACAGTCACGTAGAGCGAATGACTGATTGGTGTAGATCACATGAGCAAAACCATACTTACGATTGCAAGGTAAAACATATCTTACTGGGTTGGGGGGGGGGATTACCAAAAAACCTAAGATATTTTGCTTGGATACTCCACTAACATTATTTTCGCCCCTCCCCCCCCTCCCCCCCAACTTTTCAGCGACCCATTGTTTGCCTTATCCTAACGGATCCAATCCCCATGGCTTCTCCACCGCCCCTTTAACGGCGGCTGACTATGAATTCCTGGCAACGCTCCCCCGACTCAAGGCGGGCAGCCAGCTCCCTGGGTTCAAGTACATCTACGTGGAGGCCGGGGGCCACACCACCCACACGCTGGACCACGCGAGGGTGCAGCTGGAGATCGCCGGCTCCCCGCGCACGTCAGCCGCCGCCCTGTCTGCCGCGGCGGACTACGTCATCAGGATGACCCGTTACATGCCGGCCGCCATCTTCCAGAACGTCGCTCTAAAGTCCACGGTGGGCATCTTCACGGCCCAGGAGAAGCTCATCGTCTTCCCAGAGTACTACAGCCTGGCCAACGGCAACTGCGGCACGTCTTGTACAGGTACTTGTCTACAGACAACTTGTTCGTGTTTTGGTAACTTTGTTCATGTTTTGGTACGTTTTCGACATTACAGATATTGTAGATTTTGTTCATGTTTTTGTAACTCTTTTACGATTTTTTTTTTAAAACGAAATTAGAGATGTACACATTTTACGATGTTTAAATAGAAAATTACGGATGTACAAATTTTACGATGTGTTTTAATACAAAATTAGTGATGTACATCTTTTACTATTAGTTTTTAAATTTTTTTTTTTTTACAAAATTTTATTTTAGGATCATGCGCGCACACTTGCACTTTTGACGGCAGGAAGTACGAGGACATCGCCGGGGTCGGAGGTCAGAGGGCAGTCATCCTTGACGACAACATTCTCTGCACAGCCCAGGATCCTTACCACCACAACTTGAACATACTCGCGCACGAATACACACACACGATCCACCAGTACGGACTCGACTCCGCGACCAAACAGCGCGTCACGAGCGCGTACAACTCGGCCAAAGCTGCCCACAAGTGGAACCTCCAGTCGTACGCCATGGCCGACGAGAGAGAATATCTGGCCGTGGGCGCTTCCGTGTTCTTCGCGGTGAATCGCAACGGAAGAGAAAACTCCGGAGGGATGAACATCTGCGGAGTCGATTATTGTTTGAACGAGCTTCAGGCAAGGAGCCATCTCAACGCCGTGGACTCTCTGCTTTACGGCGCGCTGGCCCATATTTATACAAATGACCACGGGAGTCTGACAAGTGGGCTGTCGTTTTGTCCGGCCGGGAGCGTCGTCGGCTGAGCACTGAGCTGGTCTGAGGCTCGATGGTTCATTAGGGTCAAATATTATATTTACTAAAAGATTTACTTCAATGTGTTAAAAACTAAAAATGTGTTGTCTTTTTTTTGTTCTCCTTGTGAAGTTTGATCGGATGAATTATATCTCTTACACCAGTGGTTCTCAGCCTTCCCAATGCCGCGACGCCTTAATGCAGTTTCTCATGTTGTGGTGACACCCAACCATAAAATAATTTTCGTTGCTACTTAATAAATAATGTTTTACGATTGTCTTAGGCTACCCTTGTATAAGGGTCGTTCGACCCCCAAAATGTCACGAGCCATAAGTTGAGAACCGTTGTCTTACACGATTGTTTGGGATAATAGCCACGGCAGCTGAAGGATCAAGTCTCATAAAGACGGACTTTAACTCAAACGCTACGTCAGTGTCACTGTATGGCTCAGAAAGATGGCGATCAAGAAAGAAAGACTTTAAAAAAAAAACTTCAAACTCTTGTGGACGGTTGCCCGCGTAGAATCCTGAACATCACAATGGTTCCACAAAATCCCAAAGATAGCAGTGAGGAACATAACATCGCAAATCCCAGTGGAGCAAGATATACGGAAAAGAACGGGGAGATAAATAGACCACACTCTAAGAAAACCAATGTGCTGGCGGGGAACCCTCAAGGGATGGGACAGACTCAAAGCAAAAACAAACAAACAAACAAACAAGAACAACAGCAAAACCTGACGTCGAGAGGTCGACGAGGGTGTACAGAGGATAGGAGGGTGGTGGATGGCCGAGCGGTCAAAACTGAGACAATCCCAAGCTAGTGGTGTTCAATCCCCAGAAAACGCAAGGACACACCAAAAACCATCACCAGTACCCCGGTTGGATGGGGCGCGTTAATCCTTGGATCGCAACTCATCTAAAGGAAGGCAAAATCTGAATTCAAACCAGGGTGATGCAGTCCCGCAGGCGGTATGACATTAACACAATGAAAATTCCGACAACTCCTGCGACGTAGAATTCATAAAGAGCACATTGACACACATACACTTACGCATACTTAGATACATACATTGTTCTTCCGTCGAGGATCGACGAGGACCATCGTGTCGTCTGGTGACTGATGACTTGCGCGGATGACTTTGTTTAAAGTGAAGTAGAGTTGCGCGGCGTCTACCTCACTCTCTCGTCCGAGCCCACCGTATCCAGTGGCAGGACTCTACGTCAAGACGACCAGGGATGGGTTCGGTTGCAGGAATTGTCATTGTTTGCGCCTTACGGAACTCCAACTCCGGGTTTGAATTCAGAGTTTCCTTCTCTTAGATGAGTTGCCGACCAAGGTTAACGAGTCTCATCCACCCGGGGTGATATTTTTGCTTGACTGGCCTTTGGCTGGACTTGAACACCAGACCACCAACTTGAGGTTTGCTTAGTTTAGATACATACAAACACATACACACACACACACTTCTTGTCATCTACTGGATCCTGGTATATTTCCAGTCTTGCCAATCCCTTGCTTGTCTAAAATGCCCTGGGCATCTTCGTCCAAAGGACGAAAAATAAGTCTTAAGACAGGAAAGAGTTGAAAAGATTTAGAGAAGATTAGAAAAGACCTAAAGCGCGTTGCAAATCCCTGCTAATGGCCCATATTCCACCGGGAGTTAAAAAAGACAACGAGGAAGAAGAAAGCATGACTCGCCAGCGCCCCTCCCCCCTCAACACACTCCTACTTTTAAGTTTTAATTTTGAAATGAGATATTCTGTATGACAATCTGCTTCAACAATATTCACAAGTATTCAAAACGATCAAATGACGTAGTAGCTTAAGCTATTCATAGCAGCTCTAGCACATGGGCCTGACCTATGACGTAGCAGCTTAAACTATTCACAGCAGTTCTAGCACAGGGACCTGACAAATGACGAATTAGCTAATAATGTTAACAGCAGTTCTAGCACAGGGGCCTGACATATGCTGGAGTAGCTAGTAATGTTAACAACAATTCTAGCACAGGGACCTGACATATGACGGAGTAGATAATAATGTTAACAACAATTCTAGCACAGGGCCTGGCATATCACAGAGTAGCTAGTAATTTTCACAGCAGTTCTAGCACAACGGCCTGACATATGACGGAGTAGCTAGTAATGTTCACAGCAGTTCTAGTACAGGGGCCTGACAACATGACGCAGTAGCTTAAAATATTCACAACCGTTTTAGAATAGGGGCCTGAAATAAAGTATATACCACCAGTTCAAACATCAACAACTTCATTGCAGGTATGACTTCGGTCTATGGGAACTGTCAGCATTTTGGCCCCATTACAGACATTTGCCGAACATAATATTGTCAGCTATTTCAGAGGTTGACAGCCATTTTGTACATTGCTTTCAACTTTTTTTTCGTGACGTCGTTATAGTAGAATACACAATAATTATATCATACTCACAATGATTTTCTATGACAGTTAGCACAATGATTTCTCTAAGACATAGTTAGCACAATGATTTCTCTAAGACATAGTTTGCACAATGATTGAAAGTAGTAAGGATTTACGAACATAAAGTGAATATAGTGTTAATTAATATGTAAAACATTTACGAATAACTCAGATTTTCAAGAACAGACTTTTAACATGCCCAAAATAAGTTTTATCCATAAAAAAATATTGAACTTTTCGAATCTGTTTATAATCTTAACAATGGGATTTAATCAAGTTTTGAACAAAAAGTTATGCTTAAAATAAAATAAAGCTTCTGGATTGGCCCACACTTCTGAGATGCATTTTAAAAAATAGAAAACTTCTTCAACGTTCCAACAATTTAATTTATTTTAAAAACCACAGTGGTCGTGTGTACATTAAATTATTAGCTATCAATAAGAAAATGTGTTGGACGAGTTGGAATTGAACCCGTTCACCTGCCTGACGTCTGCCTGACGTCTGCCTGAGATTACAACGAATAATTTAGATTTGTTTTTTACCCGCTCGTCAACAACCTTAGTTCAAAAGACCAACGTCCATTTAAGATCTCGCATCCACTCCGCTCTCCAAACACTCCCTTCATCCACAACCTTAGTTCAAAAGACCAACGTCCATTTAAGATCTCGCATACACTCCGCTCTCCAAACACTCCCCTCATCCGACGTCACTTTCCATTATCTTCTGGTCCTACCCATCTTCTGAACTCTTGTCCCCTTATCAAACACGTTTTAAACAGCGACTAGACCCCCATACTTTTATAAGGACCCCCAAACCAACTAAAGAATCTGCCTCTAGAGTGGGATTTTTTTTTTCGTACAATTTTCTTGTTTACTAAAAAAAATGTGTGCACCAGTACCTTACACCGGTACCTTACACCGGTACCTTACACCTGTACCTTACACCGGTACCTTACACCGGTACCTTACACCGAGGTACCTTACACCGGTACCTTACACGGAGGTACCTTACACCGGTACCTTACACGGAGGTACCTTACACCGAAGTACCTTACACCGGTACCTTACACCAAGGTACCTTACACCGAGGTAAGGATTCATGGAGATAATTAACAACCATGGTCTGGAACAGCTGGTTAAAGAACCCACGAGGGGGGAAAACACTCTTGACCTACTCCTCACCAATTGTCCACATCGTGTCCAAAAAGTTGAGGTCATCCCCGGGATTTCGGACCACAACATTCCTTATTGTGAATTTCAGGTCAACACACTAAAAATGAAACAAATCATTCGAGAAATCCCAATTTATGCCAAGGCAGACTGGGATGGCCTAAGGATTGCAACCACAGAGCTAAGCTCAAACATGAAGGTGATTCAAGGTACAGCGACAACAGACGAGCTGTGGGTGAAGTTCAAGACTACAATCACTGATGCAGTGAAGAAATTTATACCACACCAAATCACCAAACCTAGGATAAATCAGCCATGGGTCACGGCTGAAATCCGTAGGCTCATCCACAGGAGAGACCGCCAATACAAACGCATGAAGAAAAATGGCTCGATGGAACTGAGAGAGGAGGTACTGAGACTCCGCCGAACCATTCAACGCTTATTGCGTAGATCGTATTGGAACTACATGAACGGCATCTTCTCAGAGGAAGACACCCCGACCAAAGATGTCAAGAACAAGCGCTTCTGGAGCTATGTGAAACACCAAAAGTCCTCAAACGCTGGAGTTTCCCCCTTGAGGTGGGATGGCCAATTGACATCTGACCCAAAAGCACAGGCGGAGATACTCAATCAGCAGTTCCAGTCGGTCTTTGGTGACGGTAGAGAGTACTCTGAGACTGAGTTCCTTCTGAAGACCAAAATGATGAACAGAGCCTATCCTATCATGGGAGATATCCAGATATCAGAACAAGGTGTGTTTGCCCTCCTCAATACCATTAACCCTTACAAAGCATGTGGTCCTGACAACATTAAACCACGAGTGCTCAAAGAATTAGCCAAAGAAATCGCTCCTGCACTGACAATCCTCTTCCAATCGTCACTATGCACAGGAAATGTTCCAGCAGACTGGAGAACAGCGCATGTCACTCCAATTTACAAGAAAGGGGAGCATTCCGACCCTGCCAACTATCGTCCGATATCCCTCACTAGCGTCGTCTGCAAATTGTTGGAGCACATAATCGTAAGCTCTGTCATGAAGCATCTTGAAAGCAAAAATATACTCAATGACTGTCAACATGGCTTCCGAGTCAATAGGTCATGTGAGACCCAGCTTCTCGAATTTGTAGAAGACTTGATGACCAATCTGGAGAACCACAAGCAGACTGACGTGCTAGTAATGGACTTCGCAAAAGCATTTGACCGGGTGAATCATAGTTTGCTTCTACACAAACTCCAGATATATGGGATTCAAGGCACCACTAAAACATGGATCTCTAGCTTCCTCAGCCACCGACGCCAAGCAGTAGTGGTGGGCGGTACAAGCTCCTCCTTTGTCAATGTGAAGTCAGGGGTCCCCCAGGGATCAGTCCTGGGCCCCTGTTTGTTCCTAGCATACATTAATGACCTACCGGAGAAACTGACATCACAGGCAAGACTGTTTGCAGATGACACAGCAGTGTATAGGACGATCGCCAACAGATCTGACCAGGA